GAATTCCAAGGTGATGTTGGGTAAATTAGCTCTATGTTGTGTTGCTTGCGTTGATGAATGCAGGAATGTAAATGCATGAGCTAACCATTTTTGTCTAAACTGTGAAGCAGCATTATATATGCATCATGTGCATGATTTTTTCATATATGGCATTAGTGGAAATATACTTTTAGAGACTTTTTGGTTGATAAATAAGTTTTGCTGTGTGAAAATCACACACACCTGGTGTGTGTGTGTGTTTAGGGTAGTAAATCACCCCCATGGTCTCAGATATTTCATTAGGCAACTTCAGAGCTGCAACTGTATTGATGCACACAATTTTCCCACACCTTGTCTGCCCTGCCGATGCTGCCACGAGTTCAGTCTTCCTTGTCGCTCAGTCGATGGTGCTTCCAATGCTTCTCCGTCATCTTCTGAGATCAGGAGTCTTCAGTCGCCTTGATTGCCTGGGCCGGAATGACTTAACTCATGCGCATGCACACCTAACTTCATTCATCTCGGCACCCAGCACTTACAGATGCTGGGATTGTACACTGAGCTGTGCATGTACGACTGTCCGTGTAAAATGTGAAAAGAACTGCTAGCAGGCAGGGGATTTTATAGCAGAAGACAACATAACGGAGCACTTCTATAATACATTTCTTGTAGCATTTTGGTTTACATTTCAGGTTTTGTTCTCGTTTAAAAAATGGAGCAGCATTTTTAATACCCCCCTTTGTGCTCCCACTGGGAAATGCACCCTCTTATTTGTCCTGTTAACCGTTCTCGCCAAAACAGAAAGATGGGTAAATCCTACATTTTACAGTTGTCACAGAACAGGAGGTAGTGGGAAATCTTCCAGTGATAATACATGTTCTGATGACAACTCTCTGAGAGGGGAATTAACTTCACTTTTAGAAATTTTCCCTCACGGTTTAGTCTTCATGACAGGAAGGGAAGTCCCACCAATGGGACAAGGGCCACAGGACAAAAAAAAAAGTTTTAATCCTTTAAAAAATTGTAATCCTTCCTTGTTCTGTTCAAAGTTAAAAAGAAAGTTTTGGGTATACATAGACTATAATTCTAAAAACATGGCTAGCTTGATGATCATTCAGTTTTGCAGGTGTGAGGCAGCTTAGTCTCCAGGTAGAGCTCTGGCATCAGTTAATGTCTGCATAAGTGTCAGCATGTCGTACTTTCAACTTAGATCCTGTTAGAATTGATGCCATATTCTGATTTTAACCTAAATAGATGTCTTAGCCTTCTTACTCATAGTTCAATCCTTTTGTCTTTTTCTGTCATTTGAATAGGTGGATCGTATGTCATTTCCATGTGGGTGTTCCAGAGATGGCTGCAGTAACGTAGCTGGTCGCATAGAATTCAACCCTATCCGCGTACGAACTCATTACCTTCATACTATAATGAAACTTGAGCTGGAAAATAAACGCCAACATCCACGACCTCAGCCACCAGAACAGGAGATTCCTCCTAACTCCCTCACTGCCCAACAGCATCAGGAGACGCAGGACTTCCATGAATTTATAGCCGAGAACTATCACTTAGAGAATGAGGCTGCTGTCCGCCACCTGCAGAGTGCAGAGGAGCGCCAGAGGCTCCTCGATGAAGGTGAAGAGACCTCAAGTGGCTCAAGCCTCAGTCTAGACTCCAGTGTGGAGAGTTTAGAGGTCTGTCTTCTGGAGGCACCTATCTCGTTGCCACCGTCCGATTGCCATTCCTCCGACAATCCTGTCTTGCTGTCTTCTGACTCTTCTGTCCTCTGTTACACAGACGAAGACTCTGGGAGGCCAGCTTCACCACCTGACTACACAGATGACAGCATGGTGTCCATTTATGATCAGAACTCAACCAGCTTAAATCCAGGGTCAGACGTGACAGAATCTATCGCCTCTGAGACTACAGAGTCCAGTGGCTCGGTCCAGATAGATACAGAGGATTACACAATGATGACTCCTTATTCTAAGGAGGAGAACCTCGAACCAGAGCCTGCTGGGAATTCCTCTGACTTGGTAACACAGACAGACAGGCCACTAGAAACCTCTATGAGTGAAGGAGGGAGGTTGCAGGAAAATTCTGACAACCCCTGGTCAGGCCAGCACTTTTCTGCAGAGAGTACCCTGACCATATGACACTTTTGGCAGATGTTTTGCACAAGCTTCTTCATCTTCTATCCAATCAAAGTCCTTTCCCCTCAACTTTCCATGTGTGTACCTGTGGGAGACCTATTTATATTGGCATTGTTCATTTACAAATGTCTTTTTATTATGCGTAAAAAAAACAGTGTAAGAGGGGGGAGAAAAAAAAAATCTAAAGATGGTTCTGGGCCTTCTTACAACCTTTCTGAGTAAGCCAATGTTATGCCAGCTCACCCTTGGGTATGTTTAGCTATAGGGAGGATGGTTGCCATATTGCTGGGTTGTGTTGCAATATTTTCCATGTTTAAAATTTGGTGACCACTATAACTTTGCAATAGGCACACTGCTACAACCATTGTCTGATACATGCCAGACTTCACTTGACTTACAAACTAACAGTGCTCTATCTGTAGATCTACCACCTCCAAAAGCACCTGTATATGGTTTGGCACGGTTTGCTTACCAGACGGCAGGCTACCTTTTCCTTTTCATGGTTCCTTACTTTTTGGATTAATCTGTTGTGGCTCCCTAGCATCCTGCGTCTTCACTCCGTCAGTCAACGTAGAAGGAACGGAGACTAACATCATGTAAACTACACAGATATACCCAGACGTAGTATGGTGCTATTGAGTAGGCTTAAGTTTCAAATGATGGTGCAGAAGCACTTTAACTTCAAGACAAGACTAACCTACAGGACTTTCCTCAACTTTACAAAGCTGCTAATCTTCAACGTGAACTATTTAAAGGGGACAGTTGTACTACTTGTGCATTCAAATGTGCTAGTCTTTTATCGCAATGAGATATACGGTATTATTTTAAGCACTGCCCTTCCCCCTGCCCGAGCATTAAGGGGTCTGTGCGATGTACAGTTTTTATTTTTTTATGTAGATTTTTACTTTGAAATATTGTGTTTTAAATTATGAGATCACCAAATACGCCAATGGAAAATATTTATTTATAGATAACAGTCAATCTGTTACATTTTGGCAAACATTTTAAAAGCATACTGTATTTGCAGGGTTTTTAGTGAGCTGCAACTTTTCATCCTATGAAGTAACTGAAATATGGTCCTAGCTTTATTGGCAAAATTCTGACATTTCTAAGACTCCTTTTACCCAAGGACTAAATTACCTTAAATCGGCCAATAAAGTTATTGCCACCTACAGCTAGGCTGGAACTTGTCTATTGTCTTTCTTTTCTATTCACATACACATCTTATGGTTTGCCGAATCCATCATGCATTATCGTTTTAAAGATAACCTGTTAACGTCTAATCGCAGGAGTATATGGTACCTGGTGTACTGTGATCTGGGGGGGAAAGTGGGTTTCTCTGTACCCTCTAGGAGCGGGTTATAAAAATCTTGTAAGTATGGAATGTAGCTAACTACAGTCTGTATCTACCAGGTACAAGGTAGTGAGGATGAAAGTATTCAGCTGTTTTGTAAGTGATGCCACACTAACACATTTGGCTTTCCTAACTGATGATATCTATAAAATACAATGGTATTTCTCCACAATGTTAACAAATGTAGCCAATTTATTACAGGGTTTTTTTCCCAGAGATGTATAAATTGTTATCCAAGGGGAACTTCAGATGTGGCTTGGCATCCGATCGAAATCTCAGTTACCAACTGAGATTTCAATAACTAACTGAGATTCAATAACTAACTGAGATTTTTTAATAACTACCTGTTAATGTACAGGTTTTTCTTCCCTCTCATAAGTGTTATGTCACCAGTTACCAAGTCCGATCAATGTCATGAATATGGCTGTACCTTGATGCAAACCAAATTTATGGTAATAATAATAATTGCAATGTGAAAATTTGAAAGACTAACTGGCCCATAAACTGAAAATGGGGAAACCTTGCTATAGAAACCAGTGTTCTGGTTGCAGAGACCAGAATCCTTAAAGCGGAGTTACTCCCCTCCTATCCTTTTCTAGCTAAGGAAGGTGACATCATAGCCTCTCTTTGAATTGCAGTTACCCTTATGCTGCACTGAGATAGGCCATGACACGAGTCTATTGAGAGCTTGAACGTTTGGTTGAGATCTGAAATAAGCACACTGTGACAACCTTGGCCGTTGGCACGCCTTTAAAAGTGTTGGGAGATGGATAAATTGGTGGGTCTAGTTCCACTTTAATAAGTTGTACTTAGGAACCGCAGCTGAAAACTCATGCATTCTTTTAATGATATCATGTAAATGTCCTCCATTAGATTATTTTGGGCTATTGTGAGGTCAGATCAGTTTAACTCAAAAGACCAACCCATTTTAAGATGTGAAGAACTTTATCACAGCCAATGAGTTGATTCATTTTCGTATCTGCATTGTGCTTGCCATTTGCTTAATGTAGACAAGCGAAATAAACTTCAGACATGTTTGTAAATGAGGCCTAGTATTAGGAACAGTTTGTTTCTCTGGGTTTGTTTTTAATATTGTAGAACATACAACTCCAAAAGGTTATAGTTTTAGATTTGTAGCAGATGTTAAGGCTCATTATTATGAATTTCTAGAGCTAGCAAACCTTGATTACTCAGTGAATGACACTGATACTTGGGACCAAAGCAGAAGAATGAATACCTGTGAAGCACATCGTGGTTTGCAGTTGCTGGTCACTTTCTACTACAGCTAATTGCTCTGGCTTCAGTACGTTGAGATTCTGACCTGGAACAAGAGTCCAGGAAAGGAAGGCTGCCTGATTGGCATACTTGTTCTTGCTTATTGTCTCAAACTACTAAAGCCACCAGAGAAGTATGTGAACAAGACATATAAAGATATGCCAGCAATTTCAACCTCTATCTCTCAGTACAGAATTCCAGTAGCTTTTGGGTTTGCTTGTCAAAAACTGTTTTATGTCAAACCTACACTGGAAAAAGACAGGTGACAATATAAAATTGTAAATCTGATTGGGGGTAAACCTCTTAAAATTGTGTCTAGCCCAATGCAAAGCATAGCTCCTATAATAGTTCTACTGGATGTAAAACCCTTTGCTGCCCAGTGACCGGGGGTTGGGGAGAAGCTTGCCCCACTTGCTTATGTTGTATATAAGTCCTATTACACTCTGTGCAGTTGGATCTGGATTTTGGCAGTCTCTAGCACTTGGAGACATGCCACAAATCTTCCAACACAACTATGACATCTGTTTGGCTTGTGACAAGAGGAAAGCCCATCTTGGTTCTTTATCAGCCCTTGATAATCAACACGGGTAATCTAATTGTTTTTAGATTATGTAGAACATTTTCTCCATTCTTCATTTGTATAATTGACTGATCTTTAATATATATCACACCGGGTTCTTATTAACCAACATATGTTTATTTGCTTTGTTTTTTTAACAGCATCCTATCCATTCTGTCTAGGCTATGCATTTTTTACTTGCCTAGTATAATATGTAGGGTACAGTCATGATATCAACCAATCAGACACGTTGCACTGCATCACTACAGTTAATTGAAATGAATACTTTAAACTAGGCATGCCAGACTGCTGTTTTTGGCACTCGTATGGCTCTTACACTTTTATTTTTCCTCAGCTAACCAGCTTTTAGGGCTTTAAATGGAATGAGGCCTCAGCCCTTCTCCAGTTGATAAAGACTAAACTCCCTTACATCACCTTATAGATTAATATTTCAAGAAAATGTTTTATGGCACCTTTCTCTAGCGTAAGATATAACTTGCAAATAATACTATAGAATTACAGTGCAATAATCTTCTTTTCCCCCAAATTAAGTAGGCATGGCCTTCTGTAGATATGATGCAGGGCTTTGAAGAGTATTCCACCTAATTTTGACCAATGTTTCATATTAGTGTTGACATGCCTGCTCTAAATGATGCATATTATCAGCAATGACTGCGTTTGGAGATTATGCTGGAAACCTTAAGCATGTAGGGGCAAGTTCATCAGGTAACTGACATTTCTGGGGCATACTACAGTGGGCCCCAATTTTTCAATGCCTAGTGATAATTTCCTTGCAGCCTGGTCACGTTGTGATGGCTGTGATCCTTACCAATTTATTTTTTGCTTCATTTACACTGCTCATCGGAGAATGAGGGAAGCAAACTGTTATTGTATCTGTTTTTTTGTGTGTGTCTGTGGAATAAATTGTTGGTCAGCAGTACACAATGGTGCCTAAAATGGATATGGTCTTACAGAAATCGGTTTGTTCTAGCTGTGCGTTTGGTTTGATTTGAATTTCCAAACAGCAGAGTTAGCAACTACACATATGTGGTAACACATTTAAAGCTGTGAGTTAAGAAAACGATTGTCCCAATACGCTCCCATATTTTTATCTTGATTTGTTCCTATTCACTATTACATGTCACAAAGTAGGTATAACTCATTTTCTATCTACTCTTTACCTCTCCCAAGAAAATCATGCTAGATGCCAACCAAACACTGCCTGGGACAGAATGGGGATCATATGTCATTTAAAAAAGAACGTCACCCATGGATGTGTTTTCTAGCTGCAATATGACATTGCTTTTATGCTTTACTGGTGTAAAACATATAATGCCCACCGTCTTGAGAATCCTTGAATACAGGGCCTATAGAAACCCTGCTTAGGTTGGCTGAAATGAAGAGATTCTGCTATAGACATTTAGGGAGTGATTTACTAACCTAAACACACACACGCACCAGGTGCGTGTGCATTTTTACACAGCAAAACGTATTTATCAACCAAACACGAGCAACGTGTCACATTTTCATGCCGTTATGGCGCGTTTTTATGTATCTACGTACGTGCGCGTCATGTAGCATGCGCCATAGGCTACACGCCACTCTAATAGCGGCATGCAAGTCTCTAGAAGCATATTTCCACTAATGCCATATATGGAAAAATCATGCACATGATGCATATATAATGCTGCTTCACAGTTTAGACCAAAAATGGTTCGCTCATGCATTTACATTCCTGCATTCATCAACGCAAGCAACACAATGTAGAGCTAATTTACACAACATCACCTTGCAATTCATGCAGGGCTTTGCACAACACACCTGCTGGGTGTGTACACACTACAAAGGTGTTTAGATTCCACCAATAGATCATGCTGGGAAGGAACACACTACAGAGGTGTATACTTGTTTGTGGCGTGTTTATAAGGTTAGTAAATCAACCCCTTAGTGTGTGTCCTTTATTCAAATAAATATGTTATCAGGTTGGGTTGGAAAACATCAGATTTTTCCTAGTTCCTCTGACGTTGAGAACCCCACAGCATTTCACCAGTCTATGGGCTGCTTGGACCTGACGGGCATAACAATGCATTTACATATTGACACAAGATTTTTTTAAGTCATCTCCACCGCCCACCTTTTTATAGCCAACTTTATTCCACTTCTCTGCACTTCGGGGCACAGTCTGCCTGATTTATACTTGAAATAACTGTAAGATGTTAAGACAATGGGTGTGTTTGTTTTTGTTAAAACACAAATACTATATGTTAAAGGAATATACGGTGCCCTTAGTTGGGCAGTAAAAGACTGGTACATGACTTGCACAGCTGGATTAATATCCAGGATTACATTAATAGGGATCGTGCAAGAATGTCATACTTTATAGACTTTTCTGTGTGTTGCTACAACAAGGTGCAATGACAAACTTCTATATATTCGTGCATTATTCATGGAGAAGTAATGCATATATATCTTTGTTATGACCACAACAGGATATAAACAGTGCTGTGAACAGCTTATGTAAAAGAGAAAAGCAGGGTGGTTAGTGATGTACAAAAATGTCCATAGAATTTCAAAAATGAAATCTTTTATCAATTTTCTATAGTTAGTATGTACTTGATTTTTTATTTCTTTAATTCCTCGCTCATTACCACGTTGGTTGGTTGCATTCTGCTAATATTGACAAAGAACTCCCAGCGTGCTCAGTGATTGGCTGAGAGTTTACATCTGCAGAAACTGGGTTGTCGACGCCTGACATTTTCCATGCAGCCACCTAGTGGGAGATGTGACTTACTGCATCTTGCATTAACATGCCTTTAGCTTACATGACACAGCTTTTTAATTTTTGTAGTGTTAGCTTAATCTAATTCCCTAGCTTGTTCATCATTGTAGCACATTATTCACCTCTAACCCTTTCCTTTATTATGCTGTGCACAAACGTATCATTTCCGTGTAAATTCAGCGCTTTGCCATGTTTTTTCCCCAGCCTTCTCA